CTATATTGACTACATACCCCGTCTTAAGAATACCTATGCCGACGTATTGGCATCTCTTGCAGCTACATTAGCCCTACCTGAAAGAGCCACCTAGCAAATCACGGTGACAGGAAGGCAATTATTCCGGCCAAAGTATGCATTACAAATTAATGCGGTTGAGGAAGAGCCTACCACACTAGAACCCATAGACTGGAGGTTTCTGATCATTGATTATGTCTATATGGCTTATTGCCCAACAACATCAAAGAAAAACAATATGTTCGTAGGCGAGCACCCATATTCTACAACAATTCCTAGTCCCAAACTTTATATCGAAGGGTGTATGACGAACTACTGCTTCACTGCTTGTCAAGCAAAGATGCAGAAGAAGCTCTTAAGGAGGCACATGATGGCATCTGTAGAGCTCATCAGCCTTGTCCTAAGTTATGGGACCGACTTCGTAGATTAGGTTATTATTGGCCAAATATGGTTAGAGACGTTGTTGCTTATGCTAAACGATGTTATGCCTGCCAGATACATGCTAATTACATGCATCAACCTTCTGAACATCTTCATCCATCAGCAACTTCATAGTCATTTGAGACGTGGGGTATGGACATTGTTGGCCCGATATCCCCATCCTCTTCAAAGGGACATCGCTTCATTTTAGCGATAACTGATTACTTCTCTAAATAGACCGAAGCAATCCCATTAAAAGAAGTCAAGACAAGTGACGTGGTCAAATTCATAAAACACTACATTATATACAGGTATGGTGTCCCGCGTCGGATCATCCATGACAATGGGCCCCAGTTTGTTAGCCAAGCCTTCACTCAATTCTGCGATAAATTTAGAATTAGGAATTTAGCCTTAATAGCTTACAACTCTGCTACTAATGGGCAAGCAGAAGCTTTCAACAAGATCATTGTCAAAATTCTTGCTAAGGTGATCTCGACAAACAAAAGAGATTAGAATATGAAGTTGAGTCAAAGCTTGTGGATTAATCACACAATAGTTCGTACAATGACAGGTACAATCCCATACTCCCTGGTATATGGATGTGAAGCCGTATTATCACTAGAGATCCAAATTCCTTCTCTTCGAATAGCACTTGTAACTGGCATGACGACGGAAGAAAATTACCATCCACGTCTCGAAGAGTTAGAGCTACTAGATGAAAAACGACTACTGGCTCAACAATATATTGAATTTTATCAGGCTCGGATTTTCAGAACATTTGACGAGAAAGTCAGATACCACACATTCAAGGAAGGCGACTTGGTTATTGTTGCCTGACGCCCAATGATTCTGAACTCCAAAAAGAAAGGGAAGTTCGAGCCAAAATAGGAAGGACCATTTGTAGTAGAAACTGTCTACTCAAATGGAGCGTATCGTCTCACCAATCAAGACGATGATAAAATCATGATGCCTATCAATGGCAAATTTCTGAAGAAATATTACCTATAGGTTCTTGGTCCATGGTATCGAAGTAAAGGAAGAAGCTAATTGAGGTAATAATTGTTAGACCCTAGAGGGGGGGATTAGGATCTTATGCTAATCTAATCTGATTTTGTGCTAATTAAAACTAATTAACAAATATATTCTTGCAAGATAGATATACAAGAGTTATAAGCAAGAATAAGCTTAAAACTAATTAACAAATATATTCTTGCAAGATAGATATACAAGAGTTATAAGCAAGAATAAGCAATATGAATAAATTCTTGCAAGATAGATATACAAGAGTTATAAGCAAGAATAAGCAATATGAATAAAGAGATATATCATATTTGTATAAAGAGATATACAAGAGTAATAAGCAAGAATAAGCAATATTGAGAGAGTTTGTGCATCCCTTTTGAGAGAGAAATTGTGAGAGATTCAAGAGATTGTTTGAGGGTTTTATTTATGAGATATTGTGTGATTGTAAACCATATTTGTATTTTCTTTCCCTCTAATAGTAGATCTCCCCCCTCCTTGCCCCTTGGACGTAGGCAACTTGCTAAACCACGTAAAATAGTTTGTCTTGCTGTAATTTGTAATAGCTTGTTAGGTTCTCTCGACAAGTCAGTCCTAGAACTGATGAGAGGGAGAGTATATATCACACTTTGTTGAGATATATTACTTTCAATTCTTGTTTCCTTTGTGAAACAGAGATTTAGTTGTGATCTTACTCTCTTGTTGTGCACCAGAAGTGCTGCCGAAATTTTCGTTGCTCACAACACTTGGTATAAGGTTAGTAGTTGATAATTTGTACATATTACGCTGTCATGTCTAAACAAAAATTTAATTGGTGCTTTATAGGTATGATACATTCAATTGTTTAAACAGTTTGAATGAAACATTTTGGTTTTTTTAATATATTTTTTTTGACTTAATTGCAAATGGAATGTTGATGAAAGTATATACAAGAAAGATGAAAGAGAGTAAGTATAGTTGTGAAATGACTAAATATCATATTGGCATTTTTTATATCCACTTTACTATTTGATTTTTTTTTTTTTTACTTCGGTGTTTTTTTCTTGGGAAAATTGCTTGGGGGAACCTAATTAAATTGAGCCATGCATCCCCACCCCAAGCCCAAAGACCATAACCAAAAAGCCCTAAACTTGAGAGATATGTGCAACCAACCCCCAAACCCACTGCCCAAGAAAATCCCTTCCCAATTTACCCTTCTTCTTCCCAATTTAAAAGCTGCTCAAGCCAATATTAACGCTCCTCCGCCTCCACCGCCTCCATCGCCGCCATTTCTCAACCTCTCTCTCCCCGATCCTCTCCCCTCCTCCGCCTCCATCGCCGCCATTTCTCAACCTCTCTCTCCCCGATCCTCTCCCCCTCCGACCCCTCTGCCGTCCTCACCTCCAAGCAAAAATCCCTCGCTGCCCTCGCCCTCCTCATACAAATCCCCCGCGATCCCTCCCCCTCCTCAATCAAATGTCGCCATGGATGAAGATGAAGAGCTATGCGAGAAACCATGGCGCCGACACCGTCGTCCACCACGCCGGCCAGGCCGTCGCTGGCGGCGCCAACATTTTCCAAGATCGCGTGGTATTTGCCCTAATTTGCACTTTAATGCCCCAAAATTCAAATTGCTGGCGATCGAATCTGTAAATTCTCAATTCCCCTTTCTATATTTATTACCCCCAGCTCATGCTTTTGCATTTCTAAACTAAATTTCCCCTCAAGAATCAGGAATGCAATGAAGAGTTATTGTCTTAATTGCCATTTGTTGTTCACAAAATTATGCCTTCGCTGTAGGTTTCCTTCGTGTTTAAGGTAACTTATCCTCCACATTTAACAAGCTTATTTATTGTACTACACTCAAGGGCGATTCCATCTTTACTTGATTTGAGTTCTCTATTGAGTTAATTTCTATCTAATTTAAGTCTTTTACTCAAGTTTTGCAAGTTTCTGTTTAATTTGAGTCCATAATTATCTCTGTTTCATACTTCACTTGCATCATAATTCATAAACACAAAGGCTCCTTTTTTACTTAATTTTCCTCAAAAAGATTTCATTTACTTAACTGCGATGACTTGTAGAGGGCATGAGAGAGTTCAGCTGCTGAGGAGATGGCTGGTTGCTTTGAAAGGAATTGAGAAGGCTTCTGATGAGAAGAGTCCAGAGCAGGCTCAGTCTTCTGATGAGCCCAACTCCCCTAATTCTACTAATTCATCGGAATTATATGGTGTTGATGATAGCAGGACAGAGGATTTGTACTGCAGATTACTATGTTGTTAGATTAATTTGTCGGTTCTTTGAAGAAAATTAGGTTGTAGGTTTGGAGAGTTATACTCTATTTGATGGGTTGAAATCATTTGGGGGATGATTTTGATATAATAACAGCTCAATTCTGTGTGACTTTTGGTGCCCATATGTGATATTTTAGTATGATGTGTGACTTATGCTGCATTTAGTCACATTTTGGTATTTTGTGTGACTTTTGTGGTTGTTACGTGACATTTTAGTATTCTGTGTGACTCTTGGGGCCCATATGTGACATTTCAGTATTCTATGTGACTTTTGGGGCTGTTATGTGATATTTTTACATTCTCTGTGTTATATTCTTGTTACCAGTTACATATCCTGCTATTAAGTGTTATGTTATATTTCTACAGGTATGATTATGGCATACATGCGTATTTTTTCATCAAGACGATCCTCGAGGGAAGGGAGATAATGAACGTTGAAGCCTTGCACATGGAGTCGCATATGCTACGAGTAGGACTTGCTGCTCAACTCATATGTGAAGGGCGTGAATGGAAAAAAACTACGATTGAAATTAGACAGTGATGATCCAGAATATTTTTTGTACTTTGGGGGTAGTGATATATCTATGATTGAGTGGAAGTATTAGACTCTACATGTAACTGTAATATTTGTTTAAACGCTATGATGTAAAGGATAACTAGTTTACTAGTTGTGTGTGACATTTGTTGGATTGTTGTGTGAGCTATATGTGAAGATATGTGACCATTAGTATGATGTGTAACGTTTGGGGCTTTTATGTGACGTTTTAGTATGGTGTGTGACTTTTGCTTCTTGTATGTGATATTTTGGTATTCTGTGTGACTTTTGAGGCTGTTATGTGATGTTTAGTATGATGTGTGACTTTTGCTCCGATTATGTTGCATTTTGGTGTTCTGTGTGACTTTTGAGGCTGCTATATGATGTTTTAGTATGCTGTGTGACTTTTGCTCCTTGTATGTAACATTTTGGTGTTCTGTGTGACTTTTGAGGCTGTTATGTGATGTTTTAGTATGTTGTGTGACTTTTGCTCCTTGTATGTGACATTTTGGTGTTCTGTGTGACTTTTGAGGCTGTTATGTGATGTTTTAGTATGTTGTGTGACGTTTGCTCCTTGTATGTGAAATCCAACAAATGTCACACACAACTAGTAAACTAGTTATCCTTTACATCATAGCGTTTAAACAAATATTACAGTTACATGTAGAGTCTAATACTTCCACTCAATCATAGATATATCACTACCCCCAAAGTACAAAAAATATTCTGGATCATCACTGTCTAATTTCAATCGTAGTTTTTTTCCATTCACGCCCTTCACATATGAGTTGAGCAGCAAGTCCTACTCGTAGCATATGCGACTCCATGTGCAAGGCTTCAACGTTCATTATCTCCCTTCCCTCGAGGATCGTCTTGATGAAAAAATACGCATGTATGCCATAATCATACCTGTAGAAATATAACATAACACTTAATAGCAGGATATGTAACTGGTAACAAGAATATAACACAGAGAATGTAAAAATATCACATAACAGCCCCAAAAGTCACATAGAATACTGAAATGTCACATATGGGCCCCAAGAGTCACACAGAATACTAAAATGTCACGTAACAACCACAAAAGTCACACAAAATACCAAAATGTGACTAAATGCAGCATAAGTCACACATCATACTAAAATATCACATATGGGCACCAAAAGTCACACAGAATTGAGCTGTTATTATATCAAAATCATCCCCCAAATGATTTCAACCCATCAAATAGAGTATAACTCTCCAAACCTACAACCTAATTTTCTTCAAAGAACCGACAAATTAATCTAACAACATAGTAATCTGCAGTACAAATCCTCTGTCCTGCTATCATCAACACCATATAATTCCGATGAATTAGTAGAATTAGGGGAGTTGGGCTCATCAGAAGACTGAGCCTGCTCTGGACTCTTCTCATCAGAAGCCTTCTCAATTCCTTTCAAAGCAACCAGTCATCTCCTCAGCAGCTGAACTCTCTCATGCCCTCTACAAGTCATCGCAGTTAAGTAAATGAAATCTTTTTGAGGAAAATTAAGTAAAAAAGGAGCCTTTGTGTTTATGAATTATGATGCAAGTGAAGTATGAAACAGAGATAATTATGGACTCAAATTAAACAGAAACTTGCAAAACTTGAGTAAAAGACTTAAATTAGATAGAAATTAACTCAATAGAGAACTCAAATCAAGTAAAGATGGAATCGCCCTTGAGTGTAGTACAATAAATAAGCTTGTTAAATGTGGAGGATAAGTTACCTTAAACACGAAGGAAACCTGCAGCGAAGGCATAATTTTGTGAACAACAAATGGCAATTAAGACAATAACTCTTCATTGCATTCCTGATTCTTGAGGGGAAATTTAGTTTAGAAATGCAAAAGCATGAGCTGGGGGTAATAAATATAGAAAGGGGAATTGAGAATTTACAGATTCGATCGCCAGCAATTTGAATTTTGGGGCATTAAAGTGCAAATTAGGGCAAAAATACCATGCGATCTTGGAAAATGTTGGCGCCGCCGGCGACGGCCTGGCCGGCGTGGTGGACGACGGTGTCGGCGCCATGGTTTCATCCATGCTCGACGTTTGATTGAGGAGGGGGAGGGATCGCGGGGGATTTGTATGAGGAGGGCGAGGGCAGCGAGGGATTTTTGCTTGGAGGTGAGGACGGCAGAGGGGTCGGAGGGGGAGAGGATCGGGGAGAGAGAGGTTGAGAAATGGCGGCGATGGAGGCGGTGGAGGCGGAGGAGCGTTAATATTGGCTTGAGCAGCTTTTAAATTGGGAAGAAGAAGGGTAAATTGGGAAGGGATTTTCTTGGGCAGTGGGTTTGGGGGTTGGTTGCACATATCTCTCAAGTTTAGGGCTTTTTGGTTATGGTCTTTGGGCTTGGGGTGGGGATGCATGGCCCAATTTAATTAGGTTCCCCCAAGCAATTTTCCCTTTTTTCTTTGGTGGTCAAATAAGTCTAAAAGTTGACTGTTGACGACAAAAGGGACCCGTGGATTGCTATGGATTGCTAACGTGAAGGTTATTAAAATATAATTATTTAGTATATAGTATTAGTTGAAGCACATGAGAAACACATGCTCTTCTCTCTCTTACATTCAAAAATAGGGAAGAAATTAGGTTATGGTCAAAGCTTAACTAAAGTTCCCACTTTTTAATTTCACCACTATCATCTCCATTTCTTAAATTGTCAGCATATGCCCGTTTCAAGTTCAAGCTTAATTTCAAAGAGAGAGAGATTGAATTAAAGAAATGGTGGTGAGAAAAAGAAGAAGACCGTGGGCATGTTGAACCTACATGTTTCAGTTAACCTCAATTACTAAAATACTTACCATTTAGTATACTTCAAGTCAGCGACTCGCGTTTTTTTAGCCAGTTGGCCAACATTTGGTTTTATTTGACCATAAGAACAAGAAAAAAATTCCAAATATGAAATTAGAGTTAAAAAAACGAAAGTGATAAAGTGGATAAAAAAAATACTAATTTCTTAATTTAACCATTATGAAAATAAGTGAATTAAAATATCAAAAATGTATATGATGGATAATTATAAAAAAATTATATATGATAAACTATGTTTGGAAATGACTGGACTAGAGTTGCCTAGTTTTTTTAGGCTGACAAGAATAATAAAACTGATTTTGTAGGTTAGAACAAAACCCAATCATGATCCAGTTTCAAATAGTTTCTCATAAAATCTATGTGCAATTATAATATAATGCCTTGTACATCAACCAACCTCCCATTTGACAATACTAATACACTATATAATCATTGCTATATAATTGTGATATATTATATAATGGCCACTTAAGACACCTTTACAATTTTCTATACGCATAATCCCACCACGTACGGGTCTTTAATGATGATTCTGATCATCCTTCCTTTCTAAAATCTCTGTAAAGCCTGCAAACTTCTTCTCTCTCGCTAAAGAACACGAAACAAAACTATAAAAAGAGAGCAGCAACATGAAACACACACTCTCTCCGGTATCGTGATTCGCGTCACCCTCTAGCTTGTCCTACTCCCTAGAACCTTCCCTTCAGTCATAGCCTCTGACAACCACCAT